TTTTCTTCCTATTATAAAGCTAAAGATTATCTTTCTTTTGAAATTTAATTTGTCCCTTTGATAAATTTGTCGGAAGACCACTCTATCTTTAAAATTTGTGTATATGTTAGCCTATAGTTACACGACATATTTTCTTTGAGATTCTATCCTCTATAAGGTATTTAAAAAAAAGAAAAAGATTTTAAAGTGTGTTTAATTACGATCATAGAACTTGTTTGGAAAGAAGCCTAAAACTTATTTGTACGAAAATTATCGATTAAATATATTTGATTAACTTAGTTTTCAACCTATAAAATGTTTAAATTTTTCATTTTTTATTGATGAATAGATAATAGAAAGTAGAGTTGAGTTCTTGAGAAATGTGATTCGCATGGAAAATGTTGTGCATACCTCTCTAAAAAAAATATTTTCCTTACTTACGAGAAAAACATGGTCATGCGACCAACTTTTAGAAAACATTTTTCACGAAAAAAATGACAATCAAACACTCAAAAGATAGAATCTTGGAAAAAAAAAAAAATCAATCAAACATACTCTTAGAAAAAAAAACTACTCATTTAAATTCATTTTCACCGTTATAAACTCAACACAAACAATGTCTCATTTTATGTACCAAATAGACCCTAAACCTTAGGCCCACACAACTGGCCCTTCACATCCCAGCTTTGGCGGCAACAAAACGAGTAGGCCCTGAAAATTACGTAGTTTACTAACTATGTTTGACCTTACGTGCGGAATTACGCTAATTAAAGCAATAAGTCACTTTTAATTAGTTTCTAAATAGTTAAGCATACAATCTAATTGCCCTAAATTCAATTACCGCGGTTCTAATATTGAAAAGTAATAAATAACACAAAGTTTGATGACGGAGAAATCCAACCGGATAAAAATTTTGGGACCAAACCAATTACTTCCACTATAGACAATGTGGGTTACAACTCAATTCCAAACTAATTCCACTAGCTGTTGTAAACCCTGCAACTCTAACATATGATGTTCCTTCCAGACTCAAGATCTGTTACATTAGATACTATCTAGCTAACCTGCTAAATCTCCCGATCTACCTCCTGTAACTTCCAAGATCCACTGTAAATTTCAGACTCACAATCTTCTACAAAGATTTGTTGTATCAGTTTTACAATCTTCTGCATAAGTCTCTTCCAAGTGGATATCCAGGAATCACTTATTCATGTTCTTCTTCCTGCACTTAAATCCCTTCCTTAAAGTTTTAAGGAAGCCAGATGTTTTGGATTAACTAACATTGATATTTTCCCAAAACTCAGTTACCAAATCACAAGAATGATGTAGATGAATCAATCAATGAATTACCTCTTGGATCTCTCAAACAATGATATGAAAGTGTTTTTCAATTACAGCATACTCAAGTAACCTTATGTAATTCGTCCCAGATATCTGTATTTATAGTTGAGGGCGCTTAGGTGTTATGGGCCGTGTAAAACTCTTTAAAATTGCAATTAGAATTTTTTTCGGATCAACATATCGCTCGAGCTAGAGCTCAGCGACAGACGAGCGACAAATATTCTGTTTTTGTCGCTTGAGTAGTGTCCAGGCGATAGGCTAGCGAAAATGCGACGCCATGTTTCTTCTCTTTTCATGCTCGAACTTTAGACCCCATAACTCAATTTATACAAATTGCACCCTAGGTCCTTAACTTTTACAACACATTAAAAATTAGACCTTTTGTCCACAGAATCACAAACAAAAAATACATAAATACGAAGGCAATAAGTAGAAGTAAAGAGAGAGTGTAAATGATATAATTATGGAGATTCGATCCAAATAATGATCTACTCCATCTGTTATCAAGCTCTCCGTCACGAGTAAAATCTTATCACTATATTTAATTGACTTGTAGTGCAATTTAAAACCTACAATGCTTCCGATAACTTACAAACAAGGAGCACTGATCATTATACAATATTAAGCTTTACGTGACCTCAATATGACCCACAAATTTAAAGAAAATTTGATTTTATAATTTGACACTTCTCTCTTAATAAATGATATGATCAAATTAAGTACAAAAAGAGAAATAGATTAACACTTTAATAAATAGCAATAAACAAAGATCAAGTGTTAGGAAAGAAAAATTTTGATGAGAATAACGATTTTTAAAAGTTGATTCAATCAAAAAAAATTCAAAATAAATGATTTGATAAAGATAAATAAGATGTGTAATCAATATAATTTAACTCAAGAATGTCTCGCTTAAATACTCTCAAAAGTGTTGTAATAAATGTAAAGTGAAATTGAATTTATAATAGTCAAAACGTCAAAATTTTTGACCAACCGGACAATCATCTAAGCGTCCGTGTCCTGAACCATACAGCCACACTAGTCGCTTTGCGTCAGAAATCAAAATGGTTAAAAAATGTTTACCCGTTGGGTGAATGGACGTCTGCTTGGACTTTTTCCCGAATTTTTCTTTTTTGATTGTTTTGAAAAAATATAGGCTTTTGAACGATGTTTTCACTTTATTTCTTAAGGTAAGTAACATTGTAAAAAATTTAAATATCAAGTTGAAATACTTACATTTTACAAATAATTTTTATTTAAGCATTTTTATGAAATAATTTTTCTCATGCATAAAAAATCATTCATTAAGCTTTTATGTTTCATTGCTAAATATTAAAGTATTTTACCTTTACATATGAATTCGAAACATTTAAATTTAGGTCATGTTCGAGCCAAATTATTGTAGAATGAGGATGAAAAATATAATCGTTATTGGGGCCCACATAAGAGATGGAAAATTTAAATTTAAATATTGATATGATAGATAACGGTTATATTTTTCATTTTAATGAGATAATAGTGTAGATCAAATGGGGGTTTAATATCTTCGATGTTTGAGTGTTGAAGTTCTTTGTCTTCGAGTGATTTGACATGAATGCTTGACTTCCATGTCGATTTTTATTGATTGTCCAATACGAGTTGTTTGGTAGTAATCTTTTTGTCTTCAATTGATCAACTTTGCAACTATAGCTATGAACACTCGAATTCAATTGATAGAAATAAAAACAATTTGTTTGTTATAATCAAAACATGAAATTAATCAAAGGTCAACGCACACATGGGGGTACGTCGATTGGCACCATTACTGTCCTCTTCTTCGGCACCTCTACTGCCATCTTCTCTCAACGCTGCCACCGCCACTGCCACCTTCCTCTTCGGCCACACGTAGATCTATCTATTTCTACCCTTCACTACCACATACAATTAAATCTTTCCTCTACTAAATTCGTTGCTAAACTAGCAAAGCACCGCACCAACCTACCCAAATCACTATTGCGACAACCGCAAAATGTTCAATTCGACCGACTATTGTGGGGAAGATGAAGGTGGAGGTTGGCAGTGGAGGTCGAATTGAAGATGCTATCATAGTGAACCTGTAGATGGCAACAATGGTGTGTTGATGGTGGGCTGACGCTGTACATGACGAACGATGGGTTTTATAATCGGAGATCGTTTATGTTTTTGTGTTTCTCTCTATATTCTTCTGATTTTGGCAATAGTCGAAGTTCGGGGTGAATTTGTGGTGGTATACTGAAGGTTCAAGTGCCGGGTTTGGGGATTTTGTTGTTGGGGAACCTTCGTAGATTTCTGCGTGTCTATGTGAAAGAAAAACGATGGTTGGTTGGTTGGAGGTGGAGGTAGATATGATGATAGAGGTGGAGGAGATGGTGGATTTGAGGAGGTGGTGGTAGTGGTGGTGATGCTACATCTCTAGTTGTGCGACGGTGGTGCAAGTGTGGTTGGTTGGTGTTGAATGGTGGCGTGGTGGTTGTTGGTGCAAACATTGATAGGATTGTAGTAGCGATGGTGGTGGAAAGGAGGTTGCTACATTTGGACGATGTCGATGGTGATGGAGTGAAGTAGTGTAAGATAAGGAGCGTTTGAAACCAATTATTTAAATAATTGTGACTAATAAAATGACTAATTTATGATGAATAAATAAGTTGTGACCTAAAAAAAATTGTAAGATTTACAAGTAAATTTATAATTATAACTCTCCATTTGTATTTTTATAATTGTGACTTCATACAATTTATAACTAGTAATGATTATTAATTGTGTATGATTGTGACCATAACCCAATTGATTATAGTAGGTCACAAACTTTTCTCAGGAGTTCCAAAATTTGAGCAAACTTTATCAGGTTCACAAAATGCGATCACCTGATTTTTGAAAATAAATCTACGAGTTCATTATTTTTTAAAATATATCCTGAAACCTTGCTAGTTATATAACTTTCCCTTTAATTTTTCATTTAAATGGATTCCACAATAATTTGTTCATCAATTCAGACAGATGATAAAAGGAAATGCCAACTCGTAAATTGATAAGGGGACAGTTTTTTTTTCATTAAACATAACGTTTTTGCGCAATTACATAAAGGAGGGTTGTGAATTTTCCAAATTCAAACATTTAAGCCAAACATCCACTACTTATTGAACAATTTACTACACTCAAAAACCACCCTACACTCCTCACTCTAACTATATTGCCTTTTTCTATAATTTCCTATATCTTCAGGTCATAAAACATACACATTTCCTTGTACTAGCATAACTTTACTAGCCTTTTTCTTACCACCAAAATCAACTGAAAATGCGCAAACTCAAAAGGTCCAATCCTCAGGAGTTCGTGTCAAGGAACTTAAACCAAGTTGCCGTCGTACCAAAAACTCATTCCTTCGGGCCATGAAGGTGTCTGTGCAATGCAGCAATTCAACAATCTTAGCAACAAACTACACCGAAAATGTAAAAAGATAGTGCATAAATAATTGCAATGTATACCATAATCCGGGATGAATCCCATGTTGAACCCGGGCAAAGACTGAGAATTCACGTCAACAAATTTCACGTCGAGGGCATGGAGAACTCTATCAGGAAGTAAAGCAGTTGAACAAACTGTGCACAGAAGGTCAAATACAACATCATTTCTCAGCATCAAATCGAATCTACTTTTGGAAAAATAAACAAAATTCGTTCCACGCAGAATTGCGTCGTAAAAATCTATAAAGCAACCAAGATTTGTTCCTTTTTGACTGCTATAAAAGGATTTGGCGGACAAGATTGTTGATAGAAAAGGCCAAAATGATATGGAAATCCCATTTTTAGTCTTTAAAAATGGAATTAAAAGAATAAAAGCATATCCCAAGTAGTCAGAGACACTGAGACCTCACATGAAACTATTATTAACCCACTGTTACCTCGGATTAGAATTTGAAATTTCCATTTTTGGACCAAAAAAATTATCCAGAATTAATGAAGTTAATTTCTGTACAATCAGACGAGGGAGCCAAAAGTATAACAGGCCCCAATATGAAAAATTCAAAATTCAAATAGTTCCTAGCAATTCAGGGGAAATTAAGAGACTGATTAGCTGTAAAGTTACCTAGCTTCTTGCGTGAATAAGAAGGGAACGCGTTCTTGTCATTATTACTCCCGTACCTCCGAGGCAAAAAGACCCCTGTACCAGCACAACCCCTTTTCACACCGCCACCGCCTGGCACAGCCCTATCTCCGCCGACGTGCCTACCAAAAGATACCGCCCCAGTACCCGAACCGCTAAACTTTTGGTGGGCAGGACGGGTCTGGTATGCAGCTTGACCCATTCCTCCTACTAGTCTCCCACCCCTGTTTTGATCCACTTGGTGCTGGCTGTACCACATTCCACAACTTATATTCGGTTGGTTCATCAAACGCTCCACTCTCACTTGCTGGAACTGTTAAATATGAATAGAAAGTATAAATTCGGGCACAAAAATGAAGCAAGAAAATGCAATAAGATTAAATATGAAGAGATTGTTTACACGGGTTGGATTTTGTGCAGGATAGTGAAGTTGACCGAGGCCACCTCCGCTTAGCTTGTGTTCTGGCAGTTGAACGGCGGGCTGGTAAATAAGGTCCCATGGCTTGCTCTCAATCACAAACGGCGTCGTTGGAGGGGACGGCACCTGAAATGGGGTATTACGGCTACCGTTGCTACGATCCGACCAGCTCCCCACGTGGGCCAGCGTTGACTGTGGGGAACCGGAAATCAAACCCACCTTCTATAAAAGCGAACATGCAAACAAGAAATACATAAGAAAATGCAAAAATTAAGGTAAACAGAAAGAAATAGAGATAGATTACAAGAATGGCACCTCAAGATTTTGAGGCTTGGTGGTGGGGTTGAGATGATGGTAGAAAGAGGATCGAGTTATCGCGGCGAGCAAGTCTTCATCATCACTCTCTGTTTTGGGAGAGCCTACTCCATAGCCGCCAAAATCGTAGGGAAATTCAGTGGGGAAGCAGAACTCGGAAACTGACTCAGTTTTCTTGTTGAATTTATCCTTCTCCATGACAGAATCTTCATCCGTGAGGAACTCGGACGGCAACCAAAACTCCGGTCCTTGACCTTGAGGCTCATCAGCCATTTTAGGAGCAAAGAAGATAGACAGAAAATTATAAATAGAAGATTGTTGAGTTATGATTGCTGGTTGAGGAAGATATAATAATAAGTGCAATCAATAAAGCTATTTGTGTGAAGTGGGTAGTATTTGCAGGCATGGCAGAGTGAGGGACCCAGAACCAAAGGAAAAGAAGAGAGAGAGAAGAAATGAAAAGGATGGGATGGATAGAAGAAAGAGATGTAAGAAGAATGTTATAACTGCAACAATTTCAAAAAAATTGGATTTGAATTTGCAGAGAGGGAGGGAGGGAGGGGAATGTGAATTTGTCCCAAATTATTAAAATCGTTAATTTTTAAACGAAAAGGTATAGAATAAAAGATGAGAAATAATATTGAATTTATCGTAAATATTTAAAATAATTTTAGTGCATATTTGGCAAAACTTAAAATTATGATTTTAATTATTCAAATATATTTCTTTATCTATACATTTTACAGAATACACAACTATTCAATTATTATCACATATCTCGTGAGATTTTTATATTTTTTATTTATACCCTGAATGTCCGGATCAGCTTGCGCGCACGTTTACTAATCCCACGAGATCCTGAAGTTTACGATAGGACACTCACCTCAATGATTTTGAGGGAACATATCTCATGAGATTCACAATTTATAATCATTTAAAAGCACAATCAAATCCGTTACGAAACAATATTGACAGTGTAATTCGCATGGTCATTTTTTAATCCTTTCTTCCACCTAGACGATAACCCTTTACAATGATTTGAATATTTTCCAAAAAAATTACTTGTAAGCATTTTAATATCTAAACAATTTTTGAATACTCAGTTATCACTCACTATGGTCATAGTGAGTGAAGTAGCTATGGGTTAACTTGCAAAAATCCAAATTTATTCGATTAATTTGGCACATCACAAGGTATCCACCATTTATTTTGATATCGTTTGGAGATTTTCTCAAATAAATAATATCTTCTGTTAAATTTAATTATTTATTCAACCCCTTGTTTGAGCTATCAAATTTTTGGAAAAATATATTTTGGAACGGTGATTTTTGTTTTTAGAATGTGTGATTAAAAAATATTATTTTTTTTGAATTTTTATATAATATTATTTTATTGGAGAATATGTGGTTGAAAATAAGAGATTGGAAAATATATTTTTAAAATAATGAAGCCCAAACAAAGGTTAAGAGTCTGTCTGTTTACGACTAAAATCCAATTAAAATTGAAAATATGATCTTTATGGGTCTCACTCGTCTAATAAAAGTCAACAATAACGACTAATTTTTCAATTTTAATCTGATTTTAATCTCTATCGAACACGCCTTAAGTCATATTTCAAAATTTCGAAGGGAAAAAAACACATACATGCACACACAAATACAAACAGACATTGTGAATTCATCTTTGTCTATAGTGTCAAAAAAAAATCATCTTTCTTGTGAGGGACCTATCCCTTCGATTGAGGTTCGGTATTGACTCGTAATTTGTTTATTAATAAAAAAATCAGTAGAATATAGAGATCAAAAATGCTACTTGTACACACTTGATACACAATCTCCTACACAACCTTCTCACATATGTGTGGGGTTCACAATGGGCCCCACATTATGGGACCTAGACACATGTGAGAAGGTTGTGTAGGAGATTGTGTACTAAAGTGTGTAAATGTAGCAAGGTTCTAGGGAGATAATATGTGTATATATTGATAGACTTGTATATTTTTATATGATCTATTTTTGCGGGAGGAGTAGAACGTGACAATTTGGAGCACAAAATTAAAAGTTACTTTTCTTTAAATTTAAGTAACAGTCACTTCTTATAAATGTAAGTTTTGTTAGTAAAAACAAGAGCGTGTTTGACACCCTTTTTTTTCAATTTTTTCTCTTTCTTAATTATAAAATAATATTATACATAAATCTAAAAATTTTCATTACTTTTTAACTACACATTCTTTCATCAATCACTATTCTAAAATTTATAATTTACCAAAAATGGGTGCCAAACACATACTAAGGAAAATTTCATATACATACAAAGAAGTACATGCTCATAGTATGTCAAATATTCCGGCCAAGAGCCTGTTTGGTGGAATTTTTGGGGGAAGAATTGATTTTTGAATAGTGATATGATGGAAAATATATGGTTGAAAAAGAAGAAAAATTATTGATGTGATAAAAAATATTATTTTATAGAAGAATGTATGGTTGAAAATAAGAATTG